GCCCACGTGGAGAATGGAAGGAAGCGCCCACCTGAGCTCCACGTGAACTGAGGGGGACGCTGTGGTTTTCTCTCCAAGGAACCCCCAAGATCTCCATGCAGACCCCTGGTGGGTCCCGAGACCGCATTCTGAATGCCCTGGTGTATTAAGACTGGACTCCCAATTATTCATTTGGTAAATATTTAGCAAAAGCATGTTCGCTCGAAGCACTGGTCCCTCGGAAGAAAATACAAAATAAGACCCCCTGCAACCGTGCTCTAAGAACTTTCGAAACCTCTGCTGAACATTTACCATGGTACTTTCAGTTCTACTACCACGTGTCGTATCCGCTGCCAAACATACCAGGGATGCCTTCTACTTAATTATTTTTTTATCTCCCCTCTTCTCAAACACTCCTGAAAAACAAGACCTGGCTTCTATTTCAGTCCCAGTGTTACGTAGCTTTTAGGAAGCAAGGGATGATGGGTGCTGTGGGCCAGGCTCTGAGAGTCTCCACATCCCCAGTTCCCTGGGGTCTAGCAACCCCAGGCCTGCCCGTCGGTGGTGCAAAAGTTAGGCACTTGGTTCAGCTCCTTTGTATCCAGTGGCTTTGTAGAAGAAAGGCCTGTTCATCCTAGGGTCTCCATGTGGCTTACACATTGGGCTGCTAACAGCAAGGTTAGCAGTTCGAATCCACCAGCCACTCCCCGAGAGAAAGATAAGGCTTTCAACTCCTGTAAAGAGTTAGGGTCTTGGAAACCCACAGGGGCAGTTCTACTCTGTCCTATAGGATCGCTGAGTCCGAATCAACTCGCTGGCAGTTAATTGAGAAATCTTTACCGCAACAGACTGCCACATCTTTCTCCAGCACCGTGGCGGGGTGTTCTGAGCACTGGCTTTCTGGTTGGGGGCCATGTTCTTGTTGCCTAGCAAGCCCACCGAGACAGTTATACTCTTCAGTCACAAGGGGTCACTGTCATGAACTTGGTGGCACCTAACAACAGCCTAATTCAGGGATGAAATGATTGGTATAAAAACGTTCCTTGCAAAGTGTGATGTGTCCCTGTGGGTGGTGTCCAACGCTCCTGTCAACGTCAGTGATGAGCCCGGGAGTCTGAGAAGGGGACTGTGACCTTCCTGTGGCAGAAATGGCCGTCACCTGTCGTCTTCTAAAATCACAGCGGGGCTCTGGTGGGGAAGATCCTGGGCAGATCACAAGTAGGGAACATCTAGAAGAATAATTCTGGGGCGAATTCGACTGTGAAGCCGCCTGAAGGAAGCGGGTCTCAGGGAGATGGCTCTGGGCACTGCTTCTGGGTGGTGCAGACAAAAAGGGCTCCCTACTAGAAAGCGCACTGCACCATCGAGTGCTGAGGCTGAAACCTGAAGTTTGACACGAGCCTAAGGGAGCCCAGCTGGCACAGGGGTTATGATGAGTTGGGCTGATAGATGCAAGGTCAGCAGTTCAAAACCACCAGCCATTCCATCCATGGCGAAAGGCGGGACCTTCTCCTCCCATACAGAGTTATGTCTGGGAAACTCGCGGGACAGTCCTATCCCATCCTACAGGGTCGTTAGGTGTGGGAATCAACTGGATGGGTGTGGTTTGGTTTGGGGGTAACGTGTTCCTTATCTGCCCTAGTGGGAATGCCTCTATTTTCATCGCCGTCACAACCTATTGTCCCCACAGGTTTACAGAAGGCGGCATTCGCATCGGGGTAAAAACGCGGGGTGATTTAAACAAGTTCTTTTCCCGACCGACAATCTGAAAACTACCCCAGGTGCACCCCGCAAGGAGACAGTCGGAGTTCTGAGTCCCTCCCCATGAATGACTGCCCAGATTCAGGAAAATGAAAGAGACTGCCCGGCGTTAGTGGGATGAACCTCAGGAAATCTTTAAAGAGGTTCATGAGCTACTTTCAAACCACTTCATTTAGGTCTTTTTTTTTTTTTTAAGGCCATTATTCGCATAGTTGTGATTTTCTTCTTTCCTTTTTCTTTTTTATAAGTCGTTTTATTGGGGGCTCTTACAACTATAACAATCTACACATAGATTATATCAAGCACGTTTGTACATAGGTTGCCATCATCCTTTTCAACACATTTTCTTTCTACTTGAGCCCTTGGTATCACTCCCCCTTTTTCCCTCCCACCCCTTCCTCCCTCATGAACCCTTGGTAAATTAAAATTACTATTATTTTCATATCTTATACCACCTGCTGTCTCCCTTCACAACGTTTCTGTTGTTTGTCAACTGATCGATCACTGTGATCAGTTCCCGCTCTCTCCCCACACTTCCCCCCTACCCTCACGGTATCACTACTCCCATTACTGTTCCTGAGGGGTTTATCTGTCCTGGGTTCCGTGTACTGCGAGCTCTTATCTGTACCCGTGTACATGCTCTGGTCTCGCCAGATTTTTAAGGTAGAACTGGAGTTATGATAGTTGGGGGAGGAAGCATTGAAAAGCTAGAAGGATGTGGTATGTTTCGTCAGTGCTATACTGCACCCAGACTGACTCATCCCTTCCTTGTGACCCTTCTGTGAGGGGATGACCAACTGTCTACAGATGGGCTTTGGATCTCCACTCTGACTCCCAATCGACATGATTGTTTGTTTTGGATCTTTTGATACCTGGTATGTCTTCCTGTCAACACCTCGTGATCACACAGGCTGGTGTGCTTCTATGTGGACTTTGTTGCTTCCCTGCTGGATGGCTGCTTGTTTAACTTCAAGCCTTTAAGACTCCAGACGCTATATCTTTTAATAGCCGGGCACCATCAGCCTTCTTCACATCTGCTACGTACTCATTTTTACTTCTCAAATTATTTTATTGGGGGCTTGTGCAACTCGTATCACAATCCATACATCCATCCATTGTGACAAGCACAATTGTACATTTGTTGCCATCATCATTCTCAAAACATTGTTTTCTACTTGAGCCCTTGGTATCAGCTCATTTTCCCCTTCCCTCCCCCACCTTCCCTCAGGAACCCTTGATGATTTATAAATTATCATTATTTTTTCATGTCTTCCCCTGTCTGATGTCTCCCTTCACTCACTTTTCTGTTGTCCGTCTCCCAGGGAGGGGGTTATATGTAGATCCAATGTAGATTGGTCCCCCCTTTCTCCCCCACCTTACCCTTACCCTTCTGGTATCGCTTCTCTCATTATTGGTCCTGAAGGGTTTATCTGTCCTGGATCCCTCTGTTTCCAGCTCTTATCTGTACCAGTGTACAGTCTCTGGTCTAGCCGGATTTGTAAGGTAGAATCGGGATCATGATACTGGGGGAAGGAAGCATTAAAGAACTAGAGGAAAGTTGTATGTTTCATCGGTGCTATACTGCAGCCTGACTGGCCCGTCTCATCCTTGTGACCCTTCTGTAAGGGGATATCCAATTGTCTACAGGTGGGCTTTGGGTCTCCACTCCACACTTCCCCTCATTCATAATGATATCATTTTTGTTCTTTGATGCCTGATACCTGATCTTATTGACACCTCGTAATCATACAGACTGGTGTGCTTTTTCCATTTGGGCTTTGTTGCTTCCCAGCTAGGTGGCTGCTTGTTTGTCTTCAAGCCTTTCCGACCCCAAATGCTATATCTTTTGATAGCTGGGCACCATCAGCTTTCTTCACCACATTTGCTTATGCACCCGCTTTGTCTTTAGCGAACATGTCAGGAAGGCGAGTGTCCCAGAATGCCGGGTTAATAGAACAAAGTGTTCTTGCATTGAGGGAGGACTTGAGTAGAGGCCCAATGTCCATCTGCTACCTTAGTACTTAACATATAAATATATTTACATAGACCTATATCTTTATCATTGTATATTAATATATATACAAACCTATATTTATATCTCTATAAATGTCTTTTGCCTTCTAGTTCTTTCCTCTATTTCCTTTCACCTTCCTCCTGTCCCACTATCATGCTTGCCCTCCATTTGGCTCTCAGCAGTTCCTCTCGGCTACATTGCCCTTGATCGAACCCCACCAGGCGTTCTACACCCTCCTCGCCATGGAATTTAGCTCTCTGGCTGTTCCCTTGTCCCTGGGTTTGTTTCCTTTCTAAGCAGATGCAGGAATGCTGGGGGGTCTTCTTCTTCTTTTTAAGTTGGCACAGTGATACACGGATATGTAAATACCATCATTTAAAAAGTAGTTGCAAGCTCCTTAAGTTATTAACTCAGACCAGGTTCAAGTTGACATGAATTTAAGTGAGCAGTGTCAACATGAGTAAGAATTCGCACACTCCTGTCTGACCCAGCTTCTAAGGCTGCCATGAATTTTTAGAGTGGAATTGATCCAATATAAGGACCTCGCTCATGAAAATCAAAAGTCGCATCTGCATACATTTTTTGTTGTTGTCATCTTTCTTTTCAAGTCTGCAGCCTGTTATCACAGCTCCACGGGGTGCCATCAATCCCTTGTCCCCCGAGAGGATCTAGCGTCCTGCTTACCCTACCAAGTACCGGAGCTCCGCCCCGTGTGACTGAGATGCCAACTAACAGAACCATCGGCTTTCACACGGCATTGTCCTTCTTGCTGCGCCACCTAAATATGGTGTTGCCCAAACAAGAGGCCTTCAAGACACTTGTGGAAACTATCCAGTATCGACTAATTCTACTCCCTGCAAGTTCAGAACCTACCTTGTATGTCAGCATCACCCCTTGGTTTAAGGATAGACAACATGCTTCCTGATACAGTTTTAAAGGGGCTCACGCTGTACTTTTGGTGATGAATGGGAGCATTTCCCACATTCCTTTGATAAGGTTGGAAGAAAGCTGGCTTAATGAAAATCCATACTTGGCCCCCTCTCCCTAACATGACTAGGAAGCACATTTGAAAGTCCAGCTTTTTAGGCAGCTACACTTTACAGTCACAGGTCCTGGACCACCTTTTGGTGGGTGGTAAACAGTAAGATCAGATCACCAGTAGAGGAGGTCGGGATCTCCTCTCTGAGACCCCGGCATAAGAAATTCAAAATTCAAATCCACTCCCAGGAAGACAAAAACTACTCACGGAAGTATTTCAGCGTCTCTTCGATTTGCTCTGTTGTGAGGTCGATGTTGGCGTCGGGAGAAATGAGTGGGGTGTGCAGCCAGTCGTCATGGTCATAGCCGTAGATGGTGTCGGCTCTCAGCTTGTAGTGGGGCAGCTGCTCCTCCAGCAGACTGATGATCTCGACTTCCGGAAGGTCGGTGCTATTACACACATCTGCAGAAAGGGAACGAGAACCGGAGGGTGAGGGTCCAGCACCTGGGAAGGCCCCGGTGCTGTTGGATAAGGGGCCGGTGGCCTGGAGCTAGGTGTCCGTGGCCACACTGCTACCTTAGGGAGTCATCAGACAAGGGCAGGTGAGGGGCTGAGGCTTAATTTAAATTCTACTCTCATGACTCAGAATTAGGCAGACTTCTCTCTGCCCACACCTCTCCAATATAGTGCCTACTGTTTCACTGCCCCACTGCCTGCACTCAAAGGCCAACACACTCCAACCCTCCCCATCTAGACCTAACCCTTTCTGTCCAAGCCTTTCTCCAGCCAGCCTCCCTCAAACGCATGACACTCGAGCCAAACCAGCCTAGGTGAGCTACCATTGGCCAAACTTCTTCCTCCATTCTCATACCATTCTGGCTATCCTCTTACCTAGAACTCTGCCTTCATTAAACGTAGTCATTTGCCTCTGTATACACTCATACAGACATCCATCTGTCTGATCAACTACAGTAAAACCTGCTAAAGTCAGAAGCAGGATGTGTTAGTCTGGGTTGACTAGGGAAACAAATCCAGGGATACTCATTCATCTGAGTGTAAGAGAGAGCTTTCTATGAAAGAGCAACTGTATATTGAAAAAATCATCCCAGCCCAGTCCAGACCAAGTCCCTAAGTCCGATATTAGCCCATATGTCTGACACTAGTCCATATTCTTCAGACTCACACAGCACATGCAATCACACTGAATGCACCAAGATCACAGGCCTGTGAGTGAACGTCTTGTGCATCCAGTGGCGGTGGAAGCATCTCCAGGGCTCTAGCTGCCATCAGCATGGCTCCAGGTGCCTCTTTCACAGGAATCTGAGGTAGAGAAAGTGTGGTTCTCCTCTCAGGAAAAAAAGAGGACGTTCCCAGAATCCTGGCAGGTGCTACCTTGTGACCTGACGGACAGTGTGCACACCACCCCTACATTCTATTTATCAAGTTGACATGAAATTATGTCACTACCATGCGGTGTAAGTGGGAAACTTGCCAAAGAGGGAAAACTCAAATATTTTCCACGAATGGCGAGAGAGAAAGTATCTGTTATGTTAAAGGCCGAGGCCCAGAAAACAAGGCAGACCTGTGGAGTTCCCATCTCACGGTGTGGGCATGTGCCCAGTGCCAGAGCCAAGGGAGAGTCAATGAGGAACACAAGAGTCATGACCCTGCTCTTGCAACAAGTGGAGTCTATCCTCAGGGTGCCTCCAAGCATTAAACTAAGAGGCACACATCTGTCAAAGCGGAGCCCGAATACCACGTCCTCCATGCCCTACTGTTGCTCTCAGCACTCCAGCAGAGCTCATTTCTCATCCCCGCACTACAGTCACAAATCTGGTGTCAACCTAAGACTATGAAGAGTGCAGGGTAGAGTCCAGCCTGTCCATCAGGTCACAGCTTGATGACCTCATTTGGAGGCGTGACAGAGATAAATAGCTCGCTGGAGGCCAGACACACTCTCTCTATATACCTTCCTACTGACAAGTCACATGGAGCCAGAGCCCTGGAGCTGGAGGAGCCACGTGGAGACCCACATCAGAGCTAAGATGCTTCCACCACCACTTGATCCACAAGACCTCCCACCCACTGGGCTGTGATCTTCCTGCACTTGGCGTCATTGCATGTGCTGTGTGAGTCTGAAGAAGGATTTACAGACTGGTCTCAGACTTTTGGGCTAATAGCAGACTTTGGACTTGATCTGGACGGGGCAGGGATGTTTCTCAATATACAATTGCTCTCTGATATAAAGCTGTTTCTTATACACATACAAGTGTCTCTGGATTTGTCTCTTTATCTACCCAGACTAACACACTTGTGTTTTCTGAGCATTTCATAAGCCCTAGTGGCACTTTGGGTGAAGCATTGAGCTGCTAACCACAGGGTCGGCAGTTCAAACCCACTTGTCACTTCAAGGGACAAAGATGAGGCTGTCTGCTCCCATAAAGATGCACAGTCTCAAAATCCCTATATAGGATCGCTCTGAGTTGTAGTTGACTAGATGTCAGTGGGTTAGGGGAGGGTGGGTTGGTTGGCATCGTGGTTAAGTAGTTAGTTGGCTGATAATTCAAAGACTGGTGGTTCGAACCCACCAGCCACTCCTCAGGAGAAAGATGTGGGAGGTGTGCTTTGGGAAAGATTCCCAGCCTTGGAAACCTTATGGGGCTGCTCCCCCCAGTCCTACAGGACCGCTCGGAGTCAGATGGGGTTGGATTGGGTTAGACTGGGTTTCACTAGGAGTCAGATGGGGTTGGACTGGGTTAGACT